AGCCTCGAATAGGTCGGGTGCTTCTCGGCGGATAGCCGCCTCAAATTTGTCCGCGTCTTCGCCCGGGACAGAATACCACGTCTTCGTTTCGCCCCAGTGCACTACCGGACAAGGAACCCATCAGCTCGGCCTCATTTCCGCAGTTGTTTAATGTTCAACTTACTGTAGTTGATGCTGTATGTATAGTGATCCTATGATCGTTATGAGAATATGATCCCAGGTAATGAAGCGGAAAGACGCACCTCATTATGCCAGCAAAATGTCGAGAAGATCATCCCAACATACGTCCAAGGAACAGTCATACCGGATATATCAGACTTGATGAAGCGGAGAAGTGATTCGGGCAGTATAGGAATGTTGTTGAGGTTCCATGGATCTTTGGAGTACTGGTTCAATGGATGTGTCTCCAAGGTAGGCATCGCACTGTTGAGATGATGAACGAACGATGAAACACACGTTTGCGGCGTAAACGAGCTCACCTCCCATGGGTCGTCGAATGCACGTCCGCGCCGTACTCGACCTCGACCGTCTCGTTCGGCGACTGCACCAGCCGCCAAAACTCCCGCTCTACATCCGTCTCAGAGACGACCACATCGCCAAACTTGTTGATGGTCGGATCGGGCACGTTGTTCCTCGCGGAAAGGTCGCCATCGTAGACGCGTTCGCGATCCCCATCCGCATCAGACGGCGGGTGCGCTGTGAACCAAAGCTTCCGAAACTCCAGATCCCGCGCCTGAAAACTCGCCAGACTGTGCTCCTCGCCCTCGTCGAACCCAAAGTCGCCGCCCGTCCCGAACAGGCAGACATGACAGAACCACTGGCCCTTTGGAATGGTGGACAGAGCCGGATCGAGACAGAAGATGTGGAATCCTGCGCGTCCAGGTCAGCACCGGTGCTTCTCGCAACAAGATCGTGTATGGGCACATACCACAATCACAGCCGTCGCACAGGAGCATCTCCTCGCCACGGTCCTTCTTCTGGCAGACCTCACAGTGAGGCTGCGCTCCCCTCAGCGAACGCTGCTCGATGGATCGAGAGTCGTACGCACGCACCTCGGATGGGGACCGTCTATCTTTTAGATCGGTCCCATTCGCAGAGGGTGTCGGAGGTCGGCGACTTGCTGAACGGCGAATGAGCACCGCAAAACAAGAACGATCGAAAGGCACTCACGTAAAGAAGGATCGTGGGAGGCTTGTCGTGTACTCCGTCGAAGCCGGACGCTGTCGTTCCTGTGATCGGGCTCGTCTGGCACCGACGATAGCTCACTATCGCTGTCCGTCAACGGGCTGGACGGCATACTCTCGTCGCCTCCGTTTTGTCGCGACGACTTTCCTGCGGACTGGATGTTGATGTGCGTCTTGAGGGTGGGGTCGTGGAAGCGGCTGGGCGACATATTGGGCGAGTTCTTGACGCGGTCGCAGAAGTGCTCGTAGGGCAGAATAACTCTAGCGTACGAGTTCTTTATTTGCGTCGCAAGGCCGGGAATGCCACCATATCCAAGCAGACGGCCGAGATCGGCCCATTTCTTGGTGCGGGTTACCTGTGGCAATTAAGATTAATTCGAGCGAGATAGCGGTTGGATCTGAATAGAACTCACCGCATCGTATCCGCCCAATTTATGGACCTCTTTTCGTAGGAGCCATAGATCCAAGGGCTTGTAATTAATCGTGGGGACGGAAACCCTAGGGTTGCCCTGCTGCTTGTGGAAACGATATAGCTGCTCTAGGAAGTTGACCTTTGCACGAGAAGAAGCTTCAATGGAGTTCAAGCGTTGCAAACGAGTCTTGAAACGAAAGGTCTAGAGGGCAACGAGCGCGTTAATTTGACATGGATGTTGATAGGGCAACAAAGCATACCTCGGTGTCGGTAACGAACGGCATGGACCATCCTAGTGGCGGTATAATCTTGCACATGCCATAGCTCTTTGCATTCTCCGATATGGACTTGATGTACGCCATGGGATCCTTGAACTGCTCTGGGGTGGGACGGAAGGTAGGACAATCAGTGAGCCCAAAGGGCCGCTCCTTGGGCTTCGAGGGCATGTTGCGAGGGTTAGGCGTCTTGACGGAGGACATGTCCAGTTCTGCCGAGACGCGGATGGGCGGGCCCTCCCTCAGTTTAATCCTGGCACCCTCCATGTCGTCCTGGTCGTGATTGTGGGCGTTAAGCGCAGCCATGGCCTCGGTCTTGGACTTGCGAGGCGCCCGCTTGGGCTCGGATGTGGGAGGGAGGAGCCCATCTCTGCGGGAGGCGGAGGCGGTTTGTTCGGGTTTGTCGAGGGCAAGAGCACCGTCGACGAGGATGTCGAGGCAGGTGGTGAAGGTAGCCTGGGGCCTCGCAGAAAATTCGGCCGATGGCCTGGAGCGCGTTGGGGTCGACGACGAGGCTCGCAGCGATGGTCGTCGAGCACTCGAGGGGCCGTCGACGGGCGTTGGACGAGGGGGAGAGCCCTGGTGCATGGGGAGAAACGTGGAAACAGAAAGAGAGCAAGTCAGACACCAACGACCGCCAACTCGTTTGCGTCCGTTGGTGGCACTCGCTCTCGTGTGAAATATCCCATCACAAGTGCCGCTGGCTTTCAATTTCGCTGAGCGCTCGCATACATCCGATCTCGCCGAGCTTGAATTTGACCGAGCCCTGTCCCTGCCCGTCCGTGGACCCTCAGAGTATGTTCTGAGGCTGCGTATATGCGCTGAATATTCGACCTCAGAGTGCTGCAGGAGACCGTCGGGCGTATCTGGGGTCGCACGCACGGACCACACGACGAGCGAGCGCTTTGAAACATCTATCAGGTGTCCTGTTGCAATTAGATCTTCTCCAGATCCCGGGTGTTCCAATCACGATCAGCTGAGTCAGCGTGCTGGTGTTCTTCTGCCTGGCCGAACACAGTCCACAACATCCAACGCGCTCGCAGGAATGAGAATGTTCCCCGGCGTGCCCCTCTCTCAGATTCTGAATTCACTCTTCTGGCCTGCGCACACGCTAGTTCGAACCCCTGGACCACGCCTGCTCGCTGCCACCCATCGTATATGATCCATTCAGCATCCATCCAGAATCCATCTGATGCTTCCTGCCCAGTTATCTCCGCCGCGCTATAACACGCATACATACGCAGCCCATCCCCCGTGCATTCTACGTCCACCCACCCCCTTTCTGATGCAGCCCGTCACACAAACAACTCGCCACAATCGCTCAAACATGGAATATTCGCGGCCTACTGATCCCCCCCTGCCGCGCGGCTCCCTGCTTTCCTCGCCGCGCGTGCTAAACCGGCGCCCATGCCCTCTTCTAGTCGCCGGCGATCCTCGGCGCACACACATTCAGTCGCGATGTTCGGAACACCAGAGCCCACCGCTGCACATCACGGTTGCGTCCAACGTTCATTGCAGACACGCAGGCAGACTGACACACACAGGCTCGGAGTCCGAAGAGCATCATCCCTCTGCACGCCACCAACAACCTCACTTGCCGCTTCAGGCATACAGGACGTCCGCGGCCGTCAATTTACGTACACGCCTGCCCGTTACAACGTCCGGACCGAATGCACGCCGTTGATACAATAGAAACCTCGCCTCAGGACGAATTGTTGCCCGCACCCTCCACCGGCACACACCGAACCTTGGCAGTCAGTCGACCGAACTCCCACGCCGAACAACGTAGCTACCAAACGGAGGCAGCTTGCTGCCAGTAGGGCCGCCGCTGAGTATCTGGCTTCCAGCATCCCGTGTGAGTCTTCTTGCATGAACGATATTACCCGATATCCGAACGAAATGACTGATGATTTCCAAAGGCGATTAGACATCCCGCTCGCACCGAGCGGGCTGCAGTATGGACACTTTTGTCGGCGTCGAGTAAAATCGCCTCTAGGGCACAGCAAGCATAATGCAAAGCGGTGACTCGAGGCGGCACCGCTTTGCGCTTCTCAGGCGCGCAACACTGTCGAGCTAATTATTATTTTTGGAGCGACTCACAATGCACCGCGGCAAGGTACTGTTCTAATTGTGCCCACCTAGACGACCGTTCTCAATATTCCACACAGACGAATCGCTAAATTCCTGAGCACGCCATACCAGCCACGACGACCACTAGGTTGGAAACCCAGACACTTCACGGCGCTCCGCGTTTTCGCCAACAGACTTCTGGAATTTCTTCCGAGCACCACAGGTCCAAGCACAGATCCCAGAGAACCTCTCTGGCGTTCAGTACGGAGGCTTTTTGGATGCCGAGACCACGTTCCCATCCAGAAAAAAAGATACGGACGACCTTTCGCTTACCCTGAGTCGTCCGAAAACACAATAACCGCTAAGTACTCCGACGAGGACCGTCATGATTATGGCCGATAGTGAGTGCACGTACGTTCGAGTTCTCTTGCGTTTTCATACTCATAACCTACGTGCAGCTATCCGATACACTCGGGATCTTTTCGCCAACGTACAGCCATATGGTTCGAAGAAGCCAATTCTGAAAAAGCCCGCATTGACGGCAGCAAATGATCTCCACAACCGAGTCGTCAAGACCCTCAAGCAAACAAAAGGTCATATCATAAAACAGCTCGTACGCTTGTGCTCGATCCTGCACAAGAACAATGCTCATCGGTGTTCGCTACGAAGGGTGATCCATCGACGCCGCGCCCGCACAACGCAACATTGTTCTGCATGTGCTCCCGATTCTTGTTTCGCTGAACAAACGATCTCACGAACTCATACAACTACCGATAGACTCGGGGGCTTTATGTCGCCATAAGGCTACGACCAGGAACAAACAAACAACCCGAACCAGGCCCGCTCCGCAATTCAATGTCGCCCCCGTATGCACCCAGCTTGATCTGTTTATCTAAGTTCCATCGTGTTCCGTGCTGACGGGTTTTCTCCGCAGAACGAGTGGCGCAACAACACCCTTCTGCGCCGCGGGGCGCGCTCGCCTTGGCTCGCTCCGCCCTTATCCACCCTAACCCTAGGTTGGATGCAGGTCTTGAGTTTTCCAAGTGTAAGTGTCCACAAGCCCTCATTGTCTAATGGCTATGACGTCAGACTTCTAAGGTCTGATTGACCGTTGGGATCTGGAGGTTGCGGGTTCGAGTCCCGCTGGGGGTATTCGGTTACCACCTTTTTGTTATCTTCTCTTTTTTCCTTCCTCTCCTCTCTAAGGCTCCAATTACTTATTTTACATTTACTCGAAATGTGTAGATAAATCCCTAAATGATTTTGTATAGTTTATACACTATTTATAAAGAGTAAAGGGTATATCTAAAGGGTGTCCAAGAGCAAAGCCAAATATCCCACTCTTTGATGTTGCATGCTTGTGTTGTACTGTTGCAGTAATTGCACAGAAGTTGTGAGGCGTAACACGCCATATGTAGCACTTGAACGAGGTCCGCGGGCCGGCCATGCAACATGACGATGGGTGACTTGACAAGCATGTAGTAGTAGTACCGCACGAATGTTTCATGAAACATGGTCACAGATATGGCATTAAACTGGATTAGCATTAAACTGGATTGTGGGTAGAAGGAATCCAGTGTTGATAGAGGTCGCGACGGTAGGCGAAAGCACGAACGTACAAACCACGGAGTGCCGGACCGAGGCCGCTCGCAGCGTTAGCGCCGACGAAAGCCTCCAGCGGCGCATCGGCTGGGATGTTCGTAAGGGACGCCGAGGGCAACTACAACGTCCTTGCCTATCTGATGATCTTCTATGGTTCAGGGAACCTGGGAAAGTATTCGGGCCTCCTCTTACAATCACCATTCTTTCCAGTCTAAAAAATGTTTATTCTGCGGGTTCGAGCCCCGCCGGGGGTAGCTGGATACCACCTTTTTGCCATTTTCTCCCTTTTCTCCTTCCCTCCCCTGTAAACAGTTTACTATTTAGCATTTGATGGCGTTTCGTTGTTCCAGAACGGATCGTTCTGCTGAATGGCCGGCTGCGCAGGGAAGCGTTCTCGAAGGCGTGCCTCTGTTTTACCGGGACCTTTGTTATTGAAGAACACGCGGCTACGCCTCCGTTCATTTTGCTTAGTCGGCGGCGTGTAGTGAGACATCGGTGAAAGCGTCGTACGCGTCCAGGAGTCCGACGTCGCTTGGAGAAAGCGCAGGCTAAACGGTACCATGCTCATTGAAACTCGCAGTCGGCCATTGTGCTCGTGCTGTACGCGTCGCACGCTGCGATACGGGGAGGGCACATAGCCTTGCAATCCATCGAGCGAGTCAATGAAGCACATTCCATGGTACGCTCAGTCTTTCCAGGTATCAACCGCGCTCACTCATCCAAAACGCCACAAATTATCACACCAGGACCCACGCGCCTCTGACCGACGAGCACGAGCACCCCCGACCTCGCCCCGCCCCTTAGCGAGCCAGTCGCCCGTCGCCCCGTCCAAAGGGACCTCAGATCGTTATCTCGCTTGCCGATCCAGAAAAGCGTCGACTCGAACGACCCGCCGCGCGCGCGAGTTCCTGAATCCTGCACTCTGAATCTGCGTCCGTGCCACGCTGATCGCGCAGAGCCCGCCCTCTTTCTTTTTTAGCTTTCACGTTTTGCCCCTCGGCTCCGTCGAGGCTGGGTTGATTGATGCCGACCCCGACGGGTAATCGTGCACGCGTACTGGGGTTCGCGTTCGTATGCATGCGCACACGAGCGCCGCGGACGTGAGTAGTATATAATCTGCGCAGGGAGCGTGCTCAGGCTGACTGATCTGAGCCCGCATTATCCTCCACTCGACCGTCATTGAGACTGCGCTGTCCCAAGGTCCTTCGTGTATACCCCCCTGCCCTCCGTGTATTTTCCTTCCCAGCACGAACTGTCGACATGTCGCATACCCCATCGCCCAAACGCGCCGACGAAGCCATCATCGTCGCATGGATCCGCTCCCTAAACGACAAGGCCGTCAAACTCACAGACCATAAACCCCAAGTCTTCGAGGTGCGCCCGATTTTTTTTCTGACACGCATCAGCCCGTATTGATCCTCGCACGTCCGCCCTACAGGTAGGGTCACAAGGTACCCTCCTCGTCGCGGACGCGAATACCTTCCGGAGCATCTCCCAGTTCAACGACGTCACTGGCCTGCGACCCGGCCTCTGGCGGGCACAGCACATGGGCGATGTCGACGCGTCGGGCGCCGTCGTCCACTGGCAGTTCCATTGGATATGCCCCGGGCCGCTCGACTTGGACAACCTGCAGGGCATCGCGCCACAGCCGCTCGAGCCGCAGACCGCTTGGGAGAGGCTCGACGGCCTGACCGTGAACACGGGGAAGATCAGCCTGTTTGATCTGGACATGCTCCAGGACTTCATCGAGTACACAGGCGACGAGCGGCTGGTGATTGACGTGTGCCAGGACCCGTTCTCGGAAAGAATGGGCCATCAGGGAGTTCTGCCGGGCGGGTTTTTCAGTGCGTACACGCACCCATCGAAGTGCAATTATTTACTGACCATTCTATTTCGTCGCGGCAGCCTTAGCGCAGGACGGCGGCTACACAATATCTGGAAGAAAACACGACGGCGCCATCGTACAGCTACGGGTCCGCGAGTCGAGAAAAGAAGCACCAGACGAGGACGCATGACGATCTTTGACGTTTTTATATACCCGACACTTTACACACAATGTACACTACGCATCGCAGCGACAAAAATACCCCCACGCCAATGGACATTTTTATCCTCAAGAGTCTACATTGCACACTTTGCGATAAATCACGCCTTCCGTAGCAGGACCCTTAGCGCATAAGTACAGCGAAGCGCTGTACACGATCATCAAACATAACAATCTCCCCATATCACCGATAAGACGGACATACTTCCCGCGGCAGCTGTCAGACAATATGATGGGTCGAGGACCTGATTTGATGAGTACAGACGCAGCCCGACGCGACATGCGCCACATGCACTACCGCCGCTTAAAAAATCGGGGTGGTCCTAGAAGCCAGCATAGAAGGTAAGTAAAGTCCGCCTCATCATCGCGTGGTCGACTTGTTTCTAGCGGTCTCTTTGGAGATATCGAAAATCTGTAAGGCGGCCGGAGACGAAGAAGATGCTGCGCCAATACTCTTGGATCCGGCCTCTGCGGAGCATTGTCAGCGTCGATTGAGTATACTTACGGCGAGCGGCGGATACTAGGAAAAATGCGCGTGTCACTTGACTGTATAAGGGTGCTGGTCCTCAAACTTGTCGCAGAAGTCGGCGCAGTCAACGATTGCATGCGTTCTGGCGCGGTGATCAGAGTAAGATTGTCCTTTTTGGAATGAAACTGAAATAAATTCAGTACAATTCTCGAACATTCGCAGATTATAAACACTCACCATTTCTCGGCATGACGGCGCGCCACAAAATTCTGTCACGTAGAAAGAACTTAAAAGTAAATAATAGCCGTCTAGATCAATATGGACCGGAGAGCATCACAGCACAAAATCTCATTATACAGTTCGTGGGAGCGTAAAGTACATCACAACGACATTGAGCGAAAGCAGGGTCAGCAGAGCATGAGCGTATCTCCGTCATCAATAGCAAAGCGTACAAGAGGGTAGCAGTCGTAAAAGCCATCAAGCGTATTGAGAACATGCGAGGTCATTGAGCGAGGATTTGCGTCGTCTAGCTGAAACTGAGAGTAAAGAAGAGCCCGAGGCCGCAAGCAGCAAGACAAGCACTAGCAAACGTGGAGACGCCAGTGGGGAGCGACGTCCAAGCAAAAGCGAGGATCCCGATTAGAGCCAGTAGGAAGCCGACGACCGCCATAGTCACGGAGAGCGTGTGGCAGTTCGACAGGAGGCGCACCGGCGGGTCGACGTGCGTCGGGTTCGAGGGCGGCATGCACCTGAACAGGCGCACCCGCTGTATCGAGATGCGTCCCTGGATGTCCGTGAGCGAGTCCGTCCACGCCTTCCACGCGGTGAAGACGGTGAACGCGTGCGCGGACGGGGAGAGCGTCGGCTCGGACTGCACGAACGCCAGCTCGGGGCGCGCGACGAAGTCTGGCTTGTCCGTCGACGTCCCACGTTCGTGTAGGAATGCGTGCGGCATGTGATCGCTCGCGTCGATGAGTTTGTACCGGATGAGGACGAACGAGCCTACGAAGGAGGTAATAGCTAGATAGTAGTTTCGTTTAGACAGCATCAAGGGTTGATGGGAAGATGACACGTACCGGCGCATACATGGAAGATAAGGGCCCCAGTCAAGGCCGCGTTCATTGTCTGAATCGTCTTCGACCACTGGTGCGGATCGAGGTTGCTTACATGCGAGAGACTGGTGACGAAAGACAGCAGTGTACTGTCGATCGAGGCAAAGAACGTCGTCTAGAGACGTCAAGCGTTCGTTTAATGAAGATCGTTACGCCGCATACATGCACTCATACTTACGATGACGCTGATGAGCTGCAGCCTGTCGAGCCAGAGCTGCACCACATCCATGACCGCCTTGCGCTTCGCACCATCGTTGTCACCGCCTATTGCCTGCAAAGCAGCTTCTTGCTGCTTCTGCTCATGATGCAGCCTTCTATTGTTAGACATAGGTAAACCACCTAGAAGGCGTCGCGTCACATCCTCAGATCGTTATTAAACCATAATACGAAGACCACACTCACTCGAACTCATAGTGTTACAGCTGGAGGTCTGTGGCGACTGAGGACCCTCGTTGAGGTAGATGAGCGCAACGGTCAACAGAGCCTCATCAGTCAACTAAATAAGACTTGGTTGAAATGGGGGCTGCCTTTAGCACAAAGCTTCTTTACAAGGAACTGATGTGGAGCACGCTCCGTACGTTGGGAATCGTGGAACGCCAAGACTGGCACGTTTCATACTGTACGCCGGCGTCGAGAAGTCAAAGGCAGACAAAGATTGCGGTGAATCACGGTAGGAAGAGACGCAGACATAGTGAGAGAGCTGTGCAGACTGCATTCGAGCGCATGGACCACGGTAGGACTGCGGGGCTCAACTGGCGCGCGTAGCCGACGACGCGTGCACCACCAACCAGACCAGTTCTCTGCCTCAGCCGCCGGACATACTGTGGCGTCCACACCTCGGGCACACAGCACACTCGAGCTTCACACAAACATCAACGTACTCACTGCGCGTTATCACATAATGCCGTTACGACATTCGAGTAGT